GCCGGCCGAGTGTGGGGCAGGCTAGCCAGGAGAAGGTGGGGGGCGCGCCGGGGGGAGGGGAGCCGGCGGGCGGGAAGCAGGGCTGGCTGGGTGGTGGGGAGCCGGCCGGCGGGAAGCAGGGCTGGCTGTGGAGTTTTAAACTTTAAAAAAAAATTGGACTAAAATTCAAAATGAAATGTTTCAAATTGAAATAGTTCATTTAAAAGATGTTATAGCAAAGATTTCTCCAGATAGATTTTTTTTAATTGAATCAGCATTGGTAGAAAACGGCAGAGCATACAGGTGAGTCTGGCCCCGGGGATTCCATCCCACCCTGCCCCCCTCTCTCTCCTGTGTGGTTGTGTACTGCCTGGCTGGTGAGCACGCAATGTGAGTGTGCCTACCAGCCAGGCAGTACGCAACTACATATTGATACTCATGGTAATAATACAACTTACTTAATTATAAAATACCGGACATTTATATGTCCAGTATTTTCTCAATTCGTTTCCTGGACAGAAAGCTCAAATACCAGACTGTCCGGTTCAAAACCGGACACCTGGCAACCCTACTTGTAATAAGGCTAAAGTGGCAAAGAGTGGGTATATTCACCAAGTTTCCTTTTTAACTGTGATGTGCCTTTTCAGTTTAACCTAGTATGTGAGGACTCCTGGAAGGTGGATCTCTTTCAGTCCTGTGTGTGTGCTGGCTTTTTTATTGGATCTATATGTGTCGGCTACATGGCAGACAGGTATGTGTGAGCTGATATCTCAATGCTGAGCAGTCAAAAAGAAACAAACGTAGAGGCAAATCCATCTGATTAACATGCTCATGTGACTTTCAATCTATGAAGATCCCTTACTCTTTCTTTGAAAAGCATATCAAAGACTGAGATTTCTATGAGTTTTTTGTAGCTACAGATCTTTCCTGATCCCACAGAATCCCTCTTGGCAGCACTCATGTACTCTTCACTATATTTTCATGGTGATTTGTGCAAAAAACCTGCCCCCCTATATGAAAATATTGATTCTAACCAAATCCAGGAATCACTGAGTTGGAGCTTAAAAAAACAACAAAGGGTCTGGTTGCACTTTATAGACCAACAAAACATAGAGATGGTATCATGAGCTTTCGTGGGAATAGCCCACTTCAGATGACTGGAGTTTTGAGTTTAGGATGAACAGACCCAAAATAAATAGGGGAGAAGGGGGTGGAAGCAGGGGGAGAAAAACAAGGAGCAGAAGGTATGAGACTATTAAAGGAAAAAACAAGAAGGCAGAACTGGCAATCTGTAAGCACCTGAAGATTGGATAGTTAAAGAAGCAGATAAGGATCAAAGGATAGCAATAGATAGGAAAGGTACTAACGCAAGAATCTACACAGACAAAGAGCTGTTTGCGCTTTCATTGCTCCTTGTTTTCCGCCCTCTCTTCCTTTTTTCCCCCTTCCCCTCCTTTCCCTTCTCCCCTATTTATTTTGGGTCTGAACATCCGAAACTCAAAACTCTGGTCATCTGAAGAAGTAGGCTGTGCCCATGAAAGCTCATGACACCATCTGTATATTTTGTTAGTCTATAAAGTGCTACCAGACCATTTGTTGTTCTTTAAGTTTATCCTGTACAGATTAACTCGGCTACCCCCCTGAAGCTTCTGAGTTGGAGCTGTCATTCTGTCTCTGTGGTATGAATTGCATCTATGATATGAAAACATTGTTTCCGTCTATCTGTTCTTTATCAAGAAATAACAATCTGAGTTTGCCAAATAGATACAGTATCAATGCAAATTAGAGACCCAAGTGATTATGAAAAAAATTACTTCACCTTGTTCAGAACTAGGGGGTGAAATCATTGTAGACTCCAATTGAGGTTAACGATATACCACTGGCTCCAAGAACAGGAAGTACATATTGTGTTATAAAGTCTTAAAACCATTTTTCCGGTCATTGGAAAAAGATGTGCCTACATTCTAACAATGTATTCCCCTGCACACTCTCTCCAAATTGCTTTGCATTGCAAGTTCTTCAGGTCTCCTCATGTAAGCTCTTTGCACATGAAACTTAGATTTGTCAATAGAAGACCTAAACATGGATGGTTTGCAGAATTGGGCCCTTTGTATGTAAACTAGTCATTCCTAGTTCTCACATTACACAGGCATTTTAAAAGAAACTGCAGAGTAATTGTCATCTGCTGGTCTGTCTTAATTACACAGACTGTAATTCCAAAATTAGACAGGAAGGGATATCTGTACTTTCTATATGGATTAATGTGGACATATTGCCCATCTGTCATTTGGTATACTTGATGTCGTCCAAACTGCTCAAGAGCATTTATGAAATGACAAAGCAATGGAGAAGTTACCCAAATGATAGGCGAGCATTAGACCCCCATTAACACTCTGTGAATGTAGTTCTATAATATTAATGTGGACGTATCACCCCCAGTAAACAGATGTTCACATCTTCTAAATGCTACATTTACTTCTGTGTGTTGATCTCTTACTTAAACTTTCTCCCATGTAGGTTTGGCCGTAAATTTTGCCTTATAGTGACAAGTCTTGTAAGTGCCACCGCTGGAATTCTTGTGGCCTTAGCACCAAGCTACCTGTGGATGGTGATCTTTCGGTTCCTACAAGGATTCGTCAGCAAGGGCAACTGGGTAGCAGGCTACATCCTGAGTAAGATTATTGCTTTCCTGTGAATAATAATTGATAATGGCTGATGAAGGGCAAACTGGCAATTCATTAGGCTTTGTTTTTAAAATAAAAGCTTTTCTTATGGTTGCAAAGAAAATCTTCCAAATATGACACTGTCTAGTATTGTCGCTTTATAGATTCAGGAAGATGGATGATATTTAAACAATAGCTCTGAATGGTGTGAGCTGCTCCAGTCACCTCAGGCTGAATGGTGACAAACTGAAATGCCTACCTTTTTTAAATGACTGTACTGCTAAACATAGTAGCAGAAAACTTAATGTTTCAATTAGTCATTCTTCTGTACCTATGTGTGTAATGTTAACTGTACCAGTGTATACACACATACACAAGCTTTATCTCTAATATTAGTCTTAAATCTACTATAGGCACTGATACAGCTGCTTCCATTTCATATCAGTCACACAAAGGATTATTACCTCCTTACACAATATGATCCCTCAATTATACATTATGGGAAATGTATTTAGAATACAGGAAACCCCCGAGTTGCGACCACCCGAGTTACAATCCCCTGCACTTACAACTATATTTTAAAGTGCAGAAGGGGCCAAAACCCCCTGACTTAAGTATTCAGCCCGCATTTACGATGGTGCACCGCGCCTATCTTCAATGAGGATTCGAGTTACGACACCCCCGACTTGCGACACTTCCCCGGGAACCAATTGCATTGCAAGTCGGGGGTTGCCTGTAGTTTATATTGCTCAGCAAAATATCCAAATGTACCGTCTGTGAATTTTGGTATTAGTGTTTCACTTCAGTATGGAATGCCATAACAGAGAATAAGGTTTAAGCCCAGTATATTGAGATATAAGAAAAAAATACCAAACTCAGCAAATTAGGCTTGGTCTGCAAGTACCAAAGGATTTGTGTATTTTATGCAAAAATCTAGTTTTTTAAGGAGTTAGTGTTTTGTCTCCAGATGCTGGGTATGTTTACACTACTGGCCAAATCAGGCAGTGATCAATCAAGCAGAGGTCAATTTATCAGGTCTCATATAGACATGATAAATCAACCATTGATTGCTCTCATGTCAACACTGGTTCTCCACCAGAATGAGAATCTCGCAAGGGGAGTCAACGAGAGAGTGTCTCCCTCTGCAACTCAGTGAAGAGACTGCAGTAAGTAGATCCAAGTATGTCTACTTCAGCTTCGCTATTAAAGTAGATGAACTTGTGTAACTGAGGTGATTCTCCTTCCGTAGTGTAGACCAGCACTTGAAATGAAACCTATGGCTCCCAAACTGCTCGATACTTTTTTTTTCTGGAGTGAGGTTTCTTGGTTCTTCCATCTGTAAAATGATCCAACAATTTTCCTTCTGTGTTTTAACTGTGGTTATATTGTATACATTTCAGTCTCAGAAGTTGTTGGCCCAAGCCATAGGAACACAGTGGGAATTCTCTATCAAGCGGCCTTTACATTTGGACTCATCCTGCTTGATGGTCTTGCTTATGCTATTCCTCACTGGAGATGGCTGCAGATTACTGTTACTCTACCATACTTCTTCTTCCTGTTCTATTACTGGTAAACACTCATATTATACCTCAGAAAAAGTTGTGAAATTTAATTTCCCTTCATACAAGAGAGATGCTCAAGATCCATGCCAACGAAGAGTGGGAGTAGGCTCCTTTAATGTTCAATCCTTGATTGTATCCTAGCGTACACATCTTATCTAATGTATACTTAGGAATCCAACTTCTTTATATTATGCTGCTAGTGGATTATTGTTTTAAAAGAAAAATTGGATGTAAAATAATTTGATGCATATTATTTGGTTAAATCCATCATCAGCTGAATATTTGTTCAAAGGGAAACTATTAAATACATTAGTGCTGTGTTTTGATTGACATCACCTTGAAAAGGTGATTTTAGTGGTATTGTCCAATGGCTAAATATTTGTATTTAAAATGGTGGTTGACTTATTTTTTTTTTTAAACACCACCATTTTGTGGCACAGCCAAAAGTAATAGACAAGTTCCTTTCTACTAGGTCAACTAGATTTATTGTTTTAAAAAAGTAACTTGTATCTTTTTGTAGTCACTTTTTTTTTCTTTTTTTTGAGCACTTGGGTTGTGAAGAGTTGTATGCCTGGAGTGGGGATCCAGGAGTACAGTATTTAGTTTTTCTTCCTTTGTTCATTTTTGTGAATTTTATTTGAGTGTAGTGAGGGTCCAGTACTTTTAAGGGTGTGTGTGTCAGGGCGGGGGTGTCTGATGATGGTGTAGTTGGAAAATGGCTTCTCATGAGGCGCCACAGATAGGTGTCATGGATAAGTAGTACAAGTTTTCTTATTGTAAAGTTCTCATATTTATTGTTTTATCATGAACATGGGGGACAGGTGAAGACCCAGTTTAGGAAGGCAGTTGAAGCTCTCCCCTTTCTGCCCAAAGTCACACCCCTTCCCTGAGACCATGCCCCTTCATAACCTTTCCTCACACCCACAGCCTAGCCCCATCCAACCCCAGCTCCGGCCAGGGGCTGCTGTGCAGCGCAGGCCCAACCTTCTCCAGCTATTGGGTAGCTGGGCTGCCATGCAGCATGGCCTCAGCCTTCCCCAGCCACTGGAGAGCCATGTGGTGAGGATCCAACCTTTCTGGGAAGCCAGGCTTCTGCATGGTGTATCCCCCGCCCCTCCTGGGCGACTGGGCGGGGTAAGCAATTTTGGGAAGGCAGTGCTTTCCCTTGCATATGTTACCAGCTGCTCATGATCGTGAATGTATTCATCTCCAGTTAAACTGAGCTACTGGCAAAGCTGCTCCTCCAACCTCATCTTGCAGCATGGTGAGCTATTCTTTTCATGAAAAGCAGAAAGTAGTGTCACTGTGCCTGTAGCCTTGATTTGGTGCCCATATGCAATTTTGTTTCCTCTTCTTGCTTGTGTTACAGGTGTCTGCCTGAGTCTCCAAGGTGGCTGATGTCTCGGAGGCAAAATGATAAAGCTATGAAGATTGTGGGCTATATTGCCAAAAAGAATGGGAAACAGCTGCCTGCCCATTTTCAGGTTAGCTTGAGTATTTATACGGGTAGGTGAATGTTATAAAAGTTCCTTCTATAATGCCTGAATGGTTCTTCCACCTGAGCCATTCTACATGTTGGTAAAAATTAAAGTTAACTTCACAATCCCAGCTGGATAATTGTTACATCCCATTGTACATATGAGGAAGCTGGTGCATGCAGAGATTCAGAAGGCTTGTCCCAAGCTTTCTACATGCAGAAGTTTGAAACAAAGCCAGGGATAGACCCCCCCCCCCCCCCCCCCCCCA